AATATATTGAATAACCTTTATCATATACTGATAAAGGACCAAAATGCCGATTTAATGATGTTTAGCATATTAGTGTAAGATTTAACCTTGTATAGAAAATATTGCAATTTATGCTAATTACATAGTGAAAATGTTTTAAAATAAAGAGGCAAAACTGAAAATGGCAAGCGGCTCACTATACAGTATAGCCGAAGTCTACCTTATGGGGGCGAAACCCAGTAACGTTGTAGTAGGAAGAACTACCAGTGACAAGCAGTAGTATCTGGTAGTAGCTGAATTGACTAGTAGCAGAACATAGTGAACAGTGAATTAGAAAAAAGTGTTAGCTAGCCGAAAAAAGTCGTAACTGAAAATCGAAGTTACACATAGCCGAAAAAAGTGGCAACTGAAAATTCGCAGTTGCATATAGTAAATAAGTGTTAGCTAGCCGAAAAAAGTGGTATCTGAAAATTCACAGTTACATATAGTGAAAAAGTGTTAGCTAGCCGAAAAAAGTGGTAACTAAAATTCGCAGTTACATATAGTGAAAATGTGTTTTAAGTATATTATAATAGAACGTTTTTTTTACACACGAATCTTTTTATTACTATTTCTGAGTTTTATGGCGCCTTTAAACAGATTCGAACCTAGATTTCAAAATAATAATCATAACTTTCGATAGAATTAACCAATTTTAACAAAACAAAGATTAAAAATGAACTCGAATATACGCTTTATGATTTTATTAACGACTTCTTTGCAAAAAAAGTAGTTTACTCAAAACGTAAACGTAACCTTATTAATCAATTAAATTTCTAAAATACCATAGCAACGTGAAATAAAAGAGTTCTGAATTAAAGATGTAACTAATCATTGTCATAAAAGTACTCAATTAATTTTTAATTTATTTTAGCTATAATGATTGAACTAACCTCGCTCTTAGAAGCTTTCTATACTGGCTTTTCTCAGTTCTGACTTCCCATCGGGCGGCTAGGGTTTATTCGTCGTTCGCGCGCCCAGCCAAGTATTGAATTATTTTAATTTTACATTATCTCTTAAACTATGCGTCCAAATAACATGGTATAAAGAACAAAATTTATCTTCATAAAATTGTCTTGATGATGAAGTAACTTTCGTTCGTGAGAATAGGCCATGCCTAATAATCATCATTTCATCATTATCATCATTACAGCCCTTCACAAGTCCACTGCTGAACATAGGCCTCCCCCAAAGAATGCCACAAAACACGGTCCTGAGCCACCTGCATCCATCGACTTCCTGCATGTCTTACCAGGTCGTCACTCCATCTCGTGGGGGGACGCCCTACACTTCGCCTACCGGTACGAGGCTGCCACTCGAGAACCTTTCTTCCCCATCGGTTGTCGGTTCTTCGAGCTATATGGCCGGCCCACTGCCACTTCAGCTTACTAATCCGTTGGGCTATGTCGGTCACTCTGGTTCTACTGCGGATATCCTCATTCCTAAGTTTATCACGCAGAGAAACTCCGAGCATAGCCCTCTCCATAGCTCGCTGAGCGACCTTGAGCTTCCTCATACGGCCAGCAGTGAAGGACCACGTCTCAGTTCCGTAAGTCATCACTGGCAACACGCACTGGTTGTACAATTTCGTTTTAAGGTTTTGAGGTATGTTTTGAAGATGTGTCGTAGCTTCCCGAACGCTGCCCAGCCGAGTTGAATCCGTCGATTGACCTCTCGGTCGAAGTTGGACTTACCCAGTCGGACTATTTGTCCCAGGTAAACATACTCGTCAACAACTTCGAGCTTAGTGTTCCCAACAACTACCGGCATAGGTGTGACATGGACATTAAACATGATCTTAGTTTTGTCCATGTTCATCTTAAGACCTATCCGTTGGGAAACACTATTGAGGTCATTGAGCATAGTGCTTAGGTCCTCCAGCGATTCTGCCATAAGGACTATATCGTCGGCAAATCGAAGGTGAGTGATGTACTCGCCATTGATGTTGATACCGTATCCTTTCCAGTCCAGAAGCTTGAAAACGTCTTCCAATGCAGCGGTGAAGAGTTTCGGGGATATGACGTCACCCTGTCTTACACCTCTCTGCAATTGGATAGGTTTCATACTCTGGTTCTGTACTCGGATAGCCATCGTAGCCCTACTGTACAAGCACTTCAACACTTCGATATACCGACAGTCAACTTGGCACCGCTGAAGGGACTGCAGCACCGCCCAAATTTCGACGGAATCAAAGGCTTTCTCATAGTCCACATACGCCAGACATAGTGGCAAATTGTACTCTTCGGACTTCTGTACAACTTGCCGAAGGGTATGTATGTGGTCTATGGTGCTAAAGCCCTTTCGGAAACCGGCTTGTTCGGGAGGCTGGAAGTCGTCAAGTCTGCGCGCGAGACGATTCGTAATGACTCTCGAAAACAGCACGTAGACGCGGCTCAGAAGGGAAATCGGTCTGTAGTTCTTCAAGAGAGCGTTGTCACCTTTCTTGAAGAACAAGACCACCGCACTTCTGCTCCACGCCTCCGGTGTAATGCCACCATGGAGGACGGAATTAAAGAGCTTCTGAAGGACTTCAAGTACCGGTCTTCCACCCGCTTTCAGAAGCTCCGCTGTAATTCCATCCTCGCCTGGGGCCTTACCGTTTTTAAGGTGCTGGAGAGCCATCCTAATCTCGCTCAGACTGACATCCGGGATATCTTCGGAATAGTGTCGGATGAGACTCGCTCTTGGATCGTTACTCACACTTGCGTGTGGCTCCAACGATGATGTGTACAGCTGCCCATAGAACCTCTCAATCTAATTCAAAATCTCAGGTGTCCCGGAAACGATGCTGCCACATTCTGTCTTCAGCTTTGACAGTTGGCTCTTTCTGGCAGACAGATCTCTGGCAAAGACTTTGGAGCCTTGGTTCCGCTCGATCGCTTCTTCAATACGAGCTGTATTGAAGTTGCGTAAGTCCCGCCGCATGCATTTGGAGATCTGTCTGTTCAGATGCCTGTAGGCTGTCAAGTCTGTTGAAGAATGTAGCTTCATCTCCCGTCTAACAGCCATGAGATTAAGAGTGTGATCGGAGAGTTTTTGTGTTCTTCTGCGGCGGGTCTTGCAGAACTTAGCTCCAACCGCATGGACAGTTTCCACGAGCTTGTCATTCATATCGTCCACTTCATTGCAGTCTTCCAGGCACTGAAAACGGTTTTGTAACTCGAGCTGAAAGGTTTCGGGACTTTGGAACAGAGCACGAGGGGGACGGAGCGTTGACTTCATTAGACGAGACCTCTCCAACTTAACGTTTAGGTTCAGTGTGCCTCTAACCATTCGGTGATCGCTACCAGTTTTCACCCTCGCGATCACGGAGACATCACTGAACAGTTGTCGTCTGGTCGTCATAATGAAGTCAATCTCATTTTTTGTGGAACCGTCGGGGCTCGACCAGGTCCACTTCCTGTGGGGCCGCTTCTGGAAGAAAGAGTTCATCATAAAGAGTCCCTCTTTCTCCACGAAGTCGGCCAGCTGCTGGCCCCTTGGGTTCCGTTGCCCTATTCCAAATTTCCCTACTTTCAGCTCACCGTTCTCTCTTGTGCCTAGTTTTGCATTGAAGTCTCCCATTAACACCGTATATTGGGTTTTGGAGGAATGCATGGCTCTAGAGATATCCTCATACATTTCCTCCACCTCCTCATCGGGGTGTGCCGAGGTTGGTGCGTAAACCTGTATGACCTTCAGCGAATACCGTTTGGTGATTCTGAGTATAAGGTACACAACCCTCGTCGACACACTCCCGATTTTTACAACATTGTTAACGAGAGACTTGTGGACGATAAATCCGACACCTCCTTGGGACAGATGGTCGCCCTCCCGGTGATAGAGCAAGTTGCCGGATTCGAGGATTACCGTGTCCTCCCCCTCTCTTCGGACTTCGGATAATCCTATAATATGCCAGCGCAACTTGTCTATCTCTTCTTCCAGCTCCACGATCTTCTCGTCAGTCCTCAGGGTGCGTGCGTTGTACGTTGCCAGGTCGAGCCGTCTAAGGTGGCAACCGAACCTCCACCGGAGATTCTTAGCACTCCCTGCCCCGCCGTTACCATGGTCGCCACCGTAGCCAGGAATAGCGGGGCCGCCGGGGACTGGGGGCCGTTTTTTTGTTGCTCTCATCATTGGGGGGTATTTGCCATAGTTGCCACGCTTGGCGAGCGGGTTGGCAACCGCAGTTTTTTTATTGTAATTTGGCTATTATCGGGAAGATGCTGCTGCCCATCTCCTGGCTGTTTCCCTTTGTCGCCTTTTACGACACCCACGGGAGGATATGGGGTAGTGGATATTCTTGACCGCCACTACACGGCATAAATAATAACGCTCATAAATTACTTTGAAATTTTCAATATTTTCTTGTCACAAAATACCTAATTATGGCTTATGTATAAGAAAGAGACATATGGTATCGCGGACTTTTTTTTAGACGGAGTAAAGATCTATATTTTTCTAGAACATTGTAATTACGTATCCTTAACGATAACATCAGGGTACACGGATAAATCATTTCGAGAGTGCTTTTTCTTCTGACTTGCTTAACAAATATCCATATTTAAGGCTAGCTGAGTGATAAAGCTTAATGCGCTAGCCTATACTATTCCACATAAATTTAGCTATAATATACAAAAAGAATTTTTCAAATCGGACAGGTAGTTCCAGAGATTAGCGCGTTTAAACAAATAAAAAAACTCTTCCGCTTTGTTATATAGTATAAAAGATATTTGTTTGCACTTGATGACTCAATCAACGCTACCATTGAACAAATTCGTACATATACCTCGTACCCATACTTCAGAATATTTAACATAACTTTTGATGGAATGAACTGATTTTAATGAAATAAAGACTAAATGTAACCCGAAGATACGTTTTATAATTTCCTTAACGATTCTCATGATATAAATTACTAATTTATATGTCATATGTTAACAAACAAACAGACAGATAGACAATTCTAAAAACGGTGGAAATGTATTTAATTACTTATTTTTAGTATCTCTCAATCACTTTTATTACAAAAATATAAAATGTACAGACACCTGCTATTTACATTTTTATTATATGTAGGTATATATAATAAACAATTTCTTAATGTAAGAGCGAAAGAAATTACAAGAGATAAGTCCGCCTTAAAAACTGTCGCCAATTGTTTTGACGTAATTCTAGTTGAAATAAATATACATTAATGTAAATTCAACCTTAAAAACATTGCCTAAAGTTATATTCACAAAACTACGTACAAATTAAAAGCGCACCCAAATGTTCGAGTCGACGCTCATTCGGTAAGGACATTTTTTGTCACTGATTGCGTTTCTAGTTTTTTATCGATGTATTAACCACATAAAAACTGGTCTTAACGGTGACTGACGGAATTTCAATTATGTTAATGTTGTAATCAATTACTATTGCAACACCTATTGTTTCAGTTCTACCACAGAATAAATAAGTTCTACTTCAAATTATGTTCTGCTTAATTTACTACCTTCCATACTTTAAATTGTCGTTAGCTTTTTTGTACCTGTGGTTCACAAACTTACTTAAACACTTTTCATGTAAGAAATCTGCTTGTAGGTTGTCCCGTCATGGTTCTTTGTGGTTCTTTGAATGAGAATGAGATGATGGCAAGAGATTAGACGGTATGACTTCGATCCCTTGGGAGAGAGGTAAAGCCCTAGTGTGGGATGCTACTTGCGTAGACACTTTGGCAGCCTCTCATCTCAGGGTACTTCGTTTAGAGCTAAGGCGGCCTCAGAGACAGCTGAATTAAGTGGCGCAAGTATGAGTCACAGAGATGAGAAAACATTTGTGCGATTTGACCTATAAAACATCTTTGTGCAATTTACTGTACAGACTATCGGTCCGTGGGGTCCACATACGGTGAATATCCTACAGGAACTGAATCCGCGATTCCTCCACGAATTCGGTCATCGCTGCTGGCCATATGAGGGCTGGTTCTTTTTTCGCTCAAAGGCTAAGTATAGCCATACAGCGAGGAAACTCAAGCTCAACCAGCGTTCGTGGCATGATACCGCGGGAAATAGGCGGTATGATAATTAACCGACATCAAAAAGGAGGCGGTACTCAATTCGACTGTATTTTTTTTGTGTGTTACCTCATAACTTTTTATGGGTGAACCGACTTTGATGATTCCTTTTTCATTTGGAAGGTCGTGCTTCTCATGTGGACCCATGATTCATTCTGATCATGGTCTCAGCAGTAGTTTTTGAGTTATCCTTAATAATGCGCACTTAATTAACTTCGACTACATTGATGATGTACTCATCTTATTTACATTGAAGTCGGTTGTACAAAAAAAATTAATTATATCACTTGTTTAAGTTAAAGATCTTTAAAATTAATTTGCTTATATCCGCGTAATAAAATAAAATGATGTATCTTACCTAGTTTGAAGAGCACCCTCCCGCCCTCCATTGCGTACACTACCCCCTCACAATCTTTTAACTTCTATGCATCAGTAAGACAATGTCACTGTTTTACACAACATTAAACTGAATGTGTCTTTGTTATTGAAACATTGGGGTTTTATTTTAATAATATTTCGACAATACTTATTTAAAATTTTCAAACTTCGATAATGTTTGATTTAGCAACAATAACATGTATAACCAGACTAACGGCGCACGGATGACTAACGGTGCTCTAGCCATCCATGCGCCTGGGAGAAAATTTGCGACACCCCCATCCTTTTGCTTAGTAAAGCCGCCCTTGGCTCCATCATCTACCTGTTGCGTAAGTAGTGATGAAGACCTAAGATTGTAATCCAAATATAGCTAAGACATCAGATTAAACATGGGTCGAAGCACTGTAAGGGCTTGTAGCACCCTCTTGACACTGAGACCCAGGGTGAATACTTAGGTCGCTTAAGCCACCAATAGATATAATTATAACATAATTTCAGTATGGTTCATGTCTTTATCCAAATTATAAATTTATTTATACATTATCATGTGAATATTAAAATGACTAGTATAATAATATAAATCTTAACAAAATATTATACAATAAAATGATTTAGGATTCATTTTCAATTATTTTTAACCTCCTCTCTAACAAATCCGTGTCCAATTTGTGCATGCATAGAAACTTTCCATTAAGGAATAATACAGGTATATCATGTCGGTACAGTTTTAGCCATCTCAGATTATCCTTATCTGTAATATAGACTTTGTGAATAGATAGCCTGTCTTTAAATGGTTCGAGCTCCTCCATAACTATATCACATAGAGAGCAGGGGTCTCTTGTGTAGAAAGTTAATACGGGAGGTCTTTGCACAACTTCAGGTCTGAAAAAAAAATTATCTGCTTGATAGAGAATAAAAGATTCAAAAAATGAACATTGTATGATTTAATCATCATTCATTATAAAAAGAGTGTCATATCAAAATAGCAGCAAAAAGGCTTTAAAATAATTACAAATATATTGAAAATAATTACATCTTTAACTTATGATTAACATTATATTATATATAACTTTTCACCTATGAATATATTATAATCCTCAACCAACCATAACAATAAAAATTTACCTTACATAGCAAAACATAATTAAGGCACATGAAAACTCCAATATTGAGTCAATACAACACTCTATAAACAATGACAGTATAACATAATTTATTCAATATTTAATATTCAAATAAACATTATACACCAAATTATTCATACACATATTTAAAAATTATATTGATTAAAAAACTTACAATTTTTCAATCATAATAGAAGATGCACCACCACCTCCATTGCAAATAGATGCAACACCTTTTTCTCCTTTTTTTAATGCATGACACAAGTGAACAACAATGCGTGCTCCCGACATACCAATAGGATGGCCTAAGCTTACAGCACCTCCATGGACATTAAGCTTAGAAGGATCTAAATCTAGTAGTTTTTGATTAGCTACTGCAACCACACTAAATGCTTCATTTATTTCCCAGAGAGCAACATCATCTTTCTTCACACCAGTTTTTTCTAAAAGTTTGGGAATTGCAACAGCAGGAGCTATTGGGAAATCAATTGGATCACACTCTCCATCTGCAAATCCTACCACACGGGCAATTGGAGTAACATTTAACCTCTTTGCTGCTTCAGCAGTCATTAACACTAATGCTGCGGCACCATCATTTAATGTGGAAGCATTTCCAGCTGTTACTGTCCCATTTTCTTTTTGAAATACCGTTGCCAGTTTTGTAAACTTTTCAAAATTTACTCTTTTGTATTCTTCATCTTCTGTAAATAATACTGGAGGAGCACCTCTCTTTTGAGGTACAGAAACAGGAACTAATTCATCTGCAAAAGCCTTACTTTCATATGCAGCTGCACTTCTTTTATAACTGGACATGGCATAATCGTCTTGTTGCTGTCTTGAGATTTCTAATTTCTTAGCAGTATTCTCTGCACAATTGCCCATGTGGAATTTATTATACACATCGGTGAGCCCATCAAACACTATACCATCAACTAATTGCATGCCACCATAAGTGGTTTCACCTCTTTTCAAGTAAAAGGGCACATTTGACATTGATTCCATTCCACCAGCCAAAATTACATCTTGAGCACCAGTTTGTAAGCCCTGAGCTGCCAGCATTATTGATTTCATTCCAGAAGCACAAACTTTATTAATTGTGGTACATACAGTGCTTTTAGGAAGTCCAGCAAATATAACAGCTTGCCTTGCAGGAGCTTGTCCAAGATTTGCAGAACACACATTTCCAATATAGACCTAGAAAATATTTAAAATTAGAAGATGTATCATACATTCATAAAATGCTTAAGAGAAATTATCTTTCTTATGTTTTTTTTTTAAATAAAAAATACATCTTTCTTATCAATATGATAACATTTGATAAGATTAATCTAAAGCAAAGTTATTTAAATAAGGAATTAGATATATATATATATATATATAAGTTACAAACTGGGTTTTAATTCTCAAACAATATAGAAATAACTGTACACTAGAAAGTAGGTAAACTTAACTAACCTCCTTTACTTCTTCCTTAGGAATGCCGGCTCTCTCTATCGCTGCTTTAACAGCAACAGCGCCGAGTTCACTGGCAGAAAGACTGGCTAAACTGCCCCTAAAAGAACCAATTGGGGTCCTTACGGCCGATGCTATTACAACCTCATTGAGGGAAACTTTAGTAGAATATGTCGCCATCACTTTCAAATACTGATAAAGAGAAATATGGTAATGAAATTATATTATTTTCAATAATATAATGCAATTAACTTATAATTATTTATCGTAAGAGTAGTAGACTCTTCATAACCTAACGCAACGCTGATTCAAATACGTCTGAAGCTGAACTGAATATATAATTGACGGAAAGAAAACGAAACTGGCGACTACAAACCTTGCTCCCGCTGATGCAAATGATCTTCGTACCTTTTAAAAGACTCATGGTTTTTCTAGTAATAAAATATATTTATTCTTCTTTATGTAACGTGAACCGAGATGAATGTTAAATATTGAATAATAATTCTAATGATACATTATGTATGTACTTTATCTTCTTACAATTAATATTTATTTATTCAAACTTATCTTTCATCAGGCTTATTTGAAAAAAAATTTTAATACAATGTAACAAAGTTGAATTTCATACATTTCTGTAAAAACAACTTTGACCTGGCCATAGATATTATCAAAGAGTACACTCGATCGACGACATTGAACTACGATACCACGGAATATAAAAAACAAGAGGAAGCCCAAAGTGGGCGGGGCGGACGTGTCACAATTAGTGACAGTAGAGCGTAATAGACCGTCAGTCGCAGACTCAAATTGTTGCGAGCTGACGGGTCGTTGCTTGAGTGATATATGCGAAAATATGCTGTTTTGTGCAATTTAGGAGTGTAGAAACGAAAGTAAAAAATAAAAATATTTCGAATAGAGGTGTTTTCTAACAAAGGCACGTGTAATTTTTTAATTTTTTGGATAGAATCTTAACTAAACATGGACAAAATATCAAATTGTCTTTATTACAAGCAATATTCAACCTTATTTCGTTAAGATAAGGTCCAGCTGTAAACACGTTTTGAATAAAATAGCTGCGATAGTGTTGTAACAACGCCGACATTAAAGTTTTCGATAAAATGTTATCTCAGTCCTGTTAATTCACTAACATATTAATGTAAATTTGCAAATGCTGGAAGTCTCTGAAAATGTACGAAATTGTAGGGTGAAGGCTACAAATGAACATTTGTTAGGGTTGCTAAGCCAGAGAAATAAGTAAGTAGTTTAGTAGTTCTCACGACTTTTGAAAAAAAACTGAAATAAAAGTGATCTTAATATCATGATCTACATTGGTAACCGAATTCATTATCATCTAAAATTTTATATTAAAGTGTGGACATGATAATTTTTAAACAAATATGTGTTATTTCGATGAGAATAAACAATTGCTAAATTATTATTTTTTTATTATTCTCCTTGTTTCAATTTCAAAAATGATAATTTAGCTTATTGTAAATAAATTTCCATTAAATACAATTAATTATATGCCGGCTATATGAATTACAGGGATATACGTGGTACATTATGGTAATTTCCATTAAATTTTGCTATTTTACTCATTTTATCATATATATATATTTTTTTCAATTTAGTTTCTTTAGTCAATTCATATACATGATAATAATCATAATTATACTGAATATCGATATACGCCAGATCATGTTCAGGCAGAGCTACATCACTAACATCATTCACGTGGCAGTACAGGTTAGTTAGGGCATGAGTAGGGCATTGTCAACGTTATATCTATTATCATTATGTCTCAAATAGCGTGAATTTATTATTGCGATATCTAACGTTAAGAAGCTAAGTTTGCTCATTAATTATAAAACTTCGTTCATGAAAAGGAATATAATCTCTATTCTTAAGGACTTATTGTTCATGCTCAAATGAATGGTGAGTAACATGATGCCTTTCTCTTTTATTTTTAAATAACCAATCACGCGAAAATTATTGAAATGGTACACAATTGTTGATACACATTTCTTTCTTGTGCATGTGTGAGTTTGGCGACAGTGGTTTCGCTACAAATTATGCGTTTTGCTACTTCCTCTTGTTTTTTATATTCCGTGTACGATACGATACGACATTTGTATTCTTAGGCCGGCCACATACATACGGAATTCCGTTTGGACATTTCGTTTCGGAATACCGCTTCGGGATTCTGAACGCGTCAAGTCCTCACACATAAGATCAAGGACTCGTCACACACGTACAGTAGATTTTCATTCGAAATTTTTAGGGCACAACGGGATTCCGAGTGTATGTGGACGACCCGTTTGGAATTTCGAACACAGCAAATCTATATGAAATCAAGGACTTACCACACACGTTCAGTCGCTTTCGAATTTTGCGGGAATAACCGGATTCCGAATGTATATGGCAGTTTGCCTACTTGCCTTGTTCCGTCACGTTGAATATGAATCTGAGATTCAAGATCATTGAATAAATGTTCTGGTATTTCAAATGTATATTCATTCGATGTCGTAGAATTGTTTCCCAATTGCATTCGATTTATTCTTTTCCGTTTTACTATTTCTATTATTTCAGACTGAACATCTAGAGCATCTATTAGGGGCAACTGTCGGAGCTGGCTGGCGATATTTTTGGCGAAAAGGGAGAATTCATCTTCTATTTCTTTATGACACAGTACTTGGTCCTTGATATTATTAAGTGTTTCAATAGACTTCTCGATATGTTGAGGTACTAATGGTCGTTTAAGTGGTCGCTTCTTCTTGATAGTATTTTGTGGCTTAACGAATATTTCACTATTTAACTGCTGGGAAGATGATGGCGTTTGAAGATCTGCCGGTGGTGGAAGAGGTCCTGGTATGTCCGATGAAGGTTCGGCGAGAATATCTGATGAAGGGGCGATGGGAATGTCTGGTGAAGGGGCGATTGGAATGTCTGGTGAAGGGGCGATTGGAATGTCTGGTGAAGGGGCGATTGGAATGTCTGGTGAAGGGGCGATTGCAATGTCTGGTGAAGGTGCGGCTGGAATGTCTGGTGAAGGTGCGGTTGGAATGTCTGGATCTGAAGAGCTGTTATCTGAATTCTCCTGTAACAAAACAATAATAGAAAATTAAAAATATGCCGTGTTTTTTTTTCAGATCCCAAAGACAACTGAAGAATGGAAAAATATTTCGAGAGTGTTTGATAACCGTTGGAATTTTCCTGGATGTTGTGGAGCCTTAGATGGCAAGCACGTCAATATACAACAACCAATCGACAGTGGAAGTGACTTTTTTAATTATAAAGGTTACTTTAGTACTGTACTTTTGGCTCTGGTAGACGGGAACTACTGTTTTACATATATTGATGTGGGCAGCCAGGGTAGATCAAACGATGCTTCAATATTCAGTAATTCAATACTTAAAGAGAAATTGGAAGATGGGACTCTGAATTTTCCTTCTTGGGGTGTCATTTTAGGAGACGAAGCTTTTCCACTGAAACAGTATTTGATGAAACCATATTCTCGAAGATTAACATTGACAGCCGAAGAGAAAACTTTTAACTACCGTCTTTCTCGTGCCAGAAGAATAGTAGAAAATGCATTTGGCATAATGGTGTCAAAATTTCGAATATACCGGACTCCAATATATTTGTGTCCAGACAAAGTTGACAAAATTGTTAAAGCAACTTGTGCACTTCACAACTGGCTCATGAAGACAGCCATGCACTATTATGCACCAGTGGGAACAATGGACACAGATGACAGACCTGGTTCGTGGAGACAGGAACCTAGTTCAAATTATATTGCACATGTTGTGAATCAAGGTAGTAATCATCCATCTCGGTTGGCAGAGCAAAGAAGAATCAATTATAAAAATTATTTCATTGGAGAAGGCTCCGTCCCGTGGCAAAGTAGCAGAATATTTTAAGAATATCTGTGTTCTTATATTTTAACGTGACATTATAAAACGGCTAATTAATTAAATACAAATGTTTATTGTTTTATTATAATAAACAAACTTACCACATTCTGATAAGTTTTCCTGCTTTTTATGACCCCAGATAAAAATCTGTCGGCGATTTCGTACCAAGCCAACGAAGGAACATACACATCATTAGCTCCTGATCCGGTCCCGGTAGATTTTTTAATTTTTACTTTTTTCTGGGCGTATGTGCTACGAATGTTATTTATTTTCGTGTTCACCTCTTGAATTGTAACCTCCATATTGAGGTTATGTATAATGCGCTGAATAGCGGCATTCCGGGCATCTTTGTTTTTATAGTCTTTGAGTCGCACGTTCCACAACACTTGTTCTTCTTCATACAGTTCCACGAACCTTACAGTATCACGTTCCGTCCACTTTTTCCTTGACGCCGCCATTTTTAATTAAAATGATCCGAGCTGAGATGTGTGTGAGCTGTAGCCGTGTAGTGGCGGTTAAGAATATCCACTACCCCATATCTTCCCGTGGGTGTCGTAAAAGGCGACAAAGGGAAACAGGCAGGAGATGGGCAGCAGCATCTTCCTGATAATAGCCAAAATAACAATAAAAAAACTGCGGTTGCCAACCCGCTCGCCAAGCGTGGCAACTATGGCAATATACCCCCCATGAGCAATGACAATAATAAACGGCCCCCAGTCCCCGGCGGCCCCGCTATTCCTGGCTACGGTGGCGACCATGGTAACGGCGGGGCAGGAGGTGCTAAGAATCTCCGGTGGAGGTTCGGTTGCCACCTACGACGACTCGACCTGGCAACATACAACGCACGCACCCTGAGGACTGACGAGAAGATTGTGGAGCTGGAAGAAGAGATAGACAAGTTACGCTGGCATATTATAGGATTATCCGAAGTCCGAAGAGAGGGGGAGGACACGGTAATCCTCGAATCCGGCAACTTGCTCTATTACCGGGAGGGCGACCATCTGTCCCAAGGAGGTGTCGGATTTATCGTCCACAAGTCTCTCGTTAACAACGTTGTAAAGATTGAGAGTGTGTCGACGAGGGTTGCGTACCTTATACTCAGAATCACCAAACGGTATTCGCTGAAGGTCATACAGGTTTACGCACCAACCTCGGCACACCCCGATCAGGAGGTGGAGGAAATGTATGAGGATATCTCTAGAGCCATGCATTCCTCCAAAACCCAATATACGGTGTTAATGGGAGACTTCAATGCAAAACTAGGCACAAGAGAGAACGGTGAGCTGAAAGTAGGGAAATTTGGAATAGGGCAACGGAACCCAAGGGGCCAGCAGTTGGCTGACTTCATGGAGAAAGAGGGACTCTTTATGATGAACTCTTTCTTCCAGAAGCGGCCCCACAGGAAGTGGACCTGGTCGAGCCCCGACGGTTCGACAAAAAATGAGATTGACTTCATTATGACGACCAGACGACAACTGTTCAGTGATGTCTCAGTGATCGCGAGGGTGAAAACCGGCAGCGATCACCGGATGGTTAGAGGCACACTGAACCTAAACGTTAAGTTGGAGAGGTCTCGTCTAATGAAGTCAACGCTCCGTCCCCCTCGTGCTCTAATCCAAAGTCCCGAAACATTTCAGCTCGAGTTACAAAACCGTTTTCAGTGCCTAGAAGACTGCAATGAAGTGGACGATTTGAATGACAAGCTCGTGGAAACTGTCCATGCGGTCGGAGCTAAGTTCTGCAAGACCCGCCGCAGAAGAACACAAAAACTCTCCGATCACACTCTTAATCTCATGGCTGTTAGACGGGAGATGAAGCTACATTCTTCAACAGATTTGACAGCATACAGGCAACTGAACAGACAGATCTCCAAATGCATGCGGCGGGACTTACGCAACTTCAATACAGCTCGTATTGAAGAAGCGATCGAGCGGAACCAAGGCTCCAAAGTCTTTGCCAGAGATCTGTCTGCCAGAAAGCGCCAACTGTCAAAGCTGAAGACAGAATGAGGCAGCATCGTTTCCGGGGCACCTGAGATTTTGAGTGAGATTGAGAGGTTCTATGGGCAGCTGTACACGTCATCGTTGGAGCCGCACGCAAGTGTGAGTAACGATCCAAGAGCGAGTCTTATCCGACATTATTCCGATGATATCCCGGACGTCAGTCTGAGCGAGATTAGAATGGCTCTCCAGCACCTTAAAAACGGCAAGGCCCCAGGCGAGGATGGAATTACAGCGGAGCTTCTGAAAGCGGGTGGAAAACCGGTACTTGAAGTCCTTCAGAAGCTCTTTAATTCCGTCCTCCATGGTGGCATTACACCGGAGGCGTGGAGCAGAAGTGCGGTGGTCTTGTTCTTCAAGAAAGGCGACAACGCTCTCTTGAAGAACTACAGACCGATTTCCCTTCTGAGCCGCGTCTACGTGCTGTTTTCGAGAGTCATTACGAATCGTCTCGTGCGCAGACTTGACGACTTCCAGCCTCCCGAACAAGCCGGTTTCCGAAAAGGCTTTAGCACCATAGACCACATACATACCCTTCGGCAAATTGTACAGAAGTCCGAGGAGTACAATTTGCCACTATGTCTGGCGTATGTGGACTATGAGAAAGCCTTTGATTCCGGCGAAATTTGGGCCGTGCTGCAGTCCCTTCAGCGATGCCAAGTTGACTGTCGGTATATCGAAGTGTTGAAGTGCTTGTACAGTAGGGCTACGATGGCTATCCGAGTACAGAACCAGAGTACGAAACCTATCCAATTGCAGAGAGGTGTAAGACAGGGTGACGTCATATCCCCGAAACTCTTTACCGCTGCATTGGAAGATGTTTTCAAGCTTCTGGACTGGAAAGGATACGGTATCAACATCAATGGCGAGTACATCACTCACCTTCGATTTGCCGACGATATAGTCCTTATGGCAGAATCGCTGGAGGACCTAAGCACTATGCTCAATGACCTCAATAGTGTTTCCCAATGGATAGGTCTTAAGATGAACATGGACAAAACAAAGATCATGTTTAATGTCCATGTCACACCTATGCCGGTAGTTGTTGGGAACACTAAGCTCGAAGTTGTTGACGAGTATGTTTACCTGGGACAAATAGTCCGACTAGGTAAGTCCAACTTCGACCGAGAGGTCAATCGACGGATTCAACTCGGTTGGGCAGCGTTCGGGAAATTACGGCACATCTTCTCGTCAGGTATACCTCAAAACTTGAAAACGAGACTGTACACCCAGTGCGTGTTGCCAGTGATGACATACGGAACTGAGACGTGGTCCTTCACTGCTGGCCGGATGAGGAAGCTCAAGGTCGCTCAGCGAGCTATGGAGAGGGCTATGCTCGGAGTTTCTCTGCGTGATAAACTCAGAAATGAGGATATCCGCAGTAGAACTAGAGTGACCGACATAGCCCAACGGATTAGTAAGCTGAAGTGGCAATGGGCCGGCCATATAGCTCGAAGAACCGACAACCGATGGGGAAGAAAGGTTCTCGAGTGGTAGCCTCGTACCGGCAGGCGAAGTGTAGGGCGTCCCCCCACTAGATGGAGTGACGACCTGGTTAGATATGCAGGAAGTCGATGGATGCAGGTGGCTCAGGACCGTGCTTTGTGGCATTCTTTGGGGGAGGCCTATGTTCAGCAGTGGACTTGTGAAGGGCTGTAATGATGATGATGATGATGAGCTGAGATCCGAGTAAAAGGGGAAAATAGAGCATCATCCGATTCCACTCGGATTAGATGCCGGCGTCCGAGTACGCTCGGATTACATGTTTACACGATACGAGTAACGTCCGAGTAGTAATCCGAGTGCACTCGGTCCGAGCCAACTCTTATCGTGTCAACCCGGACTAAGCCGCGAGTGTCAGCCGCGGCTGACGGAAGCGTCCGATAATTTGTTCTCAGCTTTATTGTGTTCCGTGCGCCAATATATTATAGACGACCTGACAGCCTGGAAACACGTGATTGTGTGGCTTAGCTAGCGATGTATATTTTATCCAAAGAGAATATAACCACATTTTACCTATAAAATCTTTCGCTAAATGATTGCAGTATGACATCAATATTCTACTGGAAGGGCTAAGGGAGCGGTAAAAAGTGAGTAAAGTTAACTGGTTTTTTACCACGATAGTTCTAAAATAAATACTAATAATAATAATTGAAGTTATACTTCTTTTGGCGCGTTTAAGAAAAATGATAAGAGTAAATCTTTTACGATGCGCACACACACCGACACCTAAAAACGATAGCATGGAGTTGTTACGATGCGAAAATTTATAACTATATTCAATCTGACTTGACACTGGCAGAATTCTATCAAGAGAACCCATAACTTAAAAGAAGATGAAGAACTATATTCAAGGTAGTTATTCAAATATATAAGAATCTATAAAACGCGTTTTATTTTAGTTATGTTTGTTTTGTTACGCTAAAGAAGTATAACCTTTTACGTGCGTATAAACGTACACACACGTTCTTTTATTATTTTTTTATTTTAGAAATGCAATATCTCTTCACAGTGCCAGTAAATCGAGCGAATCAGAAAAAAACTCAATCGTAGACGATTCGGTCCGCTCTGCGCTGAATGCGGTAAGCGGAAAGAGCTGGCAGCTGACATTGTGAGGCCTCGGCTCAGAGATGACAATAGTATTAAACGTGAGGTCAAACTTGAGCATTGTAAAGTTACAAGCGGTGTTTTTTAACATAATGTAAATAAAATATGTCCGCGCCTGTTATAAATGACATTTAAGTTTACATTCATTTTTAAGTTGAATGCTAAAGAAAATTTGTATAACGTATTTTATTATTAAATATCTCTGACCACTTAAAACATCTTGGTCTTAATTGTGGCGCACAAAAACAACACAACTCACGTCGGATTTTAAGTAAAGTATAGTATAAAAAGTAAAAATCTAAATAAAGTCTTTTTACACAGTAAATCGTGCATATTATTTCATTCCTCTTGTTGTTTGGGCTGCATATCGATTAATTATAAGCATTAAAGATTAATATCGACAGTTATTTCGATAAAGTTGAATCAATCCCTAGCGTATATGTAAAATAGTTTAATTAATAATGTATCCACCAAAATCATGCAAATTATTAACAAT